TCTGTCCTACAGTGTAGCTGTGAGTTGGAATTGACTTGTCAACACATAACAAAGTAGAAAGTGTACGTTTTGTGTAAACAATGCTGATGTGAATCAGGCTTCTGTCACTGAACAGTTGTGAGACTTTGGGCAACTGAGTTGGTTTCATGAAACTTTAGTTTCCTTATTTGTAATAATAAATATTTTATCAGATTTTTGTGAGCATTAAATGGTAGAATATTATAAGACAACAGCATACTGTCTATCATAAACAAACAAAACCAAACAAAAGATAAATCTAAGATGAAATTAGCTACTAGAAAATTTACAGCAGATCCATGTTCCTCAGTGTAGAGTTGAATAGTCTATGAATCTAGACTTGGAGCTTACATCTTTTAAAAAAAAAAAACCCACAATGGATCATAGACCTAAATATAACATCAAAACTATACAACATCTAGAAGATAATGTAGGAGAAAATCTAGGTGGCCTTGGGTTTGGTGATGACGTTTTAGATACAACTCTAAAAACACAGTCCGTGAAAGAAAAAGCTGATAGGTTGTACTTCATTAATATTAATATTTACGCTGTGAAAGACCCTGTAAAGAGAATGAAAAGACAAACCACAGACTGGGAGATAATATTTGCTAAACACGTATCTGACAAAGGACTTGTATCAAAAATATACAAAGAACACTTAAAACTCAGGAATAAGAAAACAAACAACCCAATTACAACATGAGCAAAAGATCTGAATAGCCGCTTCACCGAAGCAAATATACAGATACCAAAAAGATGCATCACAGAAGATGCTCAGTATTATATGTTATTAGGGAATTGCAAATTAAAACAACGATGAGATACCACTACCCACTTATTAGAATAGCTAAAATCCGAAATACTGACACCACCAAATGCCAGCAAGTATTTGGAGCAACAGAACTCTCGTTCATTGCTGGTGGGAACTTAAAATGGTACAGCCACTTTGGAAGACAGTCTGAAGCTAAACATAGGTTTACGATACAATTCAGCCACCACACTCTAGGCATTTTCCCAAATGAGTTGAAAATGCATACCCACATAAAAACCTGCACACAAACATTTATAGCAGCTTTATTCATAACTGTCAAAAATTAGAAGCAATCCACACATCCTTCAATCAGTGAATGATTGGACAAATTGTGGTACATCAATACAATGAGTATTGTTCAGTGATACAAAGAAATGAGATATTAAACCATGAAAAGACAGGAAGGAACCTGAGATGTGTATTGCTAAGTGAAAGAAGCTAGTCTGAAAAAGCTACGTGCTGTATGATTTCAGCCCTATGACATTACGGCAAATGCAAAACTATAGAGACAATAAAAAGATAGTGGTTAGCAGGGTCAGGAATGGGGGCGGGATGAATACGGTGGAGCACAGGACATTTTTAGGGCAGTGAAACTATTCTGTATAATACTACAATGATGGACACATGACATGCATTTATCAAAACCCATAGGAGTGTGCAACACAAATTGTGAACCCTAATGTAAACGACAGGAGTCCTTGGGTGGTGCAAATGGTTAAGTAATTGACTACTGAACAAAAGGTTGGCAGTTTGAACCCACCCATAGGTGCCTCGGAAGAAAGGCCTGGTGATCTGCATCCGAAAGTTCACAGATTTGAAAACCCTGTGGAATGTAGTTCTACTTTGCCAAACATGGGGTTTGCCATGAATAGGAATCCACAGCAACCGGTTGATGTAAACTATAGACTTTAATTAATGATCATGTGTCAATATTGATTCCTCTATTGTAACAAGAGTACCACAGGAATGCAAGATGTTAATAACAGGAGGAAGAGTGTGCAGTGGGTGGGCTTATGTGGGAACTCTCTCTGCTTTCTGCACAATTTTCCTGTAAACCTAAAACTGTTTTAAAAAATAAAGTCTAATAAATATTGAGAAAAAAGTTGAATAGTTGATGTTCTCTGTTTAGGAGCAAACAAAAGTTATCCCAAACTCTTGAATAATAATCTTATTAAAATATTGGCTACATTTGTGAAAGTGTAAACTGAGAAAAAAATGTTTATCTGAAAGCTGGCAGGACATAAGTTGAGCTCCTTCTGTACCTGCCAGTAAAAAAAGGGCAGAAACCAGTGTTTGTCTTTGGTATGGCATGTAAACAATTGTGTCCACAGAGGTCTCAAGAGTTCATTCAGAGTAGGTCTGTCACCGGTGGCTTGCAAAAACCAAATGCTACAGAAGAGTGAGCAGGGCTGGGAAGTCATCAACAGGGCTTATAAAGAATCAATTGTAGGCAAAGCTAATGCTCCCACTAGAGGCTTTTAGGCCTGTAGAGATTTTGAAAGCAACAGCACTTGTTTTTCTTCCCCTTGTGTATTTTGGTAGTACCAAACCAAAAACCAAACCCACTGCGGTCGAGTTGACCTCGACTCATAGTGACCCTATAGGACAGAATAGAACTACCCCATAGGGTTTCCAAGGAATGGCTGGTGGACTCGAACTGCTGACTTTTTGGTTAGCAGCCGAGCTCTTAACCACTGTGCCACTAAGACTTTAATCAGGCCTTCATAAAATCTGTAAACAAGAAACCGGGAAAGAAGTACTTGTGGAGTTGTAGCTGATTAGAATGTTTACTTCAAACAGTTACGAAGTATTTCATGGCAACATGAAAGACTGAAAGATGTTAGCCTAACCTTCCGTATCTTTCTTACCAAAGCTTTGCATAGAAAGGTTTGATTACTCCTATTTCTCAATGGTAAAACACAAAGCTGAAACTGCTCTGCACGTGGGGAGAGAACTGAAGGGCTCTCATGTGCCCTCAGACATACTTTTGCAGATGAGTTAGTTCCCCAAATATTTTCTAAGTACCTTCCAAACGCCAGAGACAAGCTACAGGCTTTCAGAAGACGAAGATGAACAAGTCATGATTCCCGCTTTGAACAGCTCCTGATCTAACGCAGTCGTAGGTGAGAGAGACACATAAACACATGTTATGTGCTGTAAGGTGGTAAATGAAAAGAGATATGGAAGCACAGAGGAGTTTTTAGGCCAGTTTGGGGATTCTTCCAGGAATGCTCTCTGAACGATAAGATGCCTGAACTGGCTCACTGAAGTCTGAGGAGGAGTTAGCTGGGTGACGGCAGGTGAGGGGGGAAGTTGGGGGTGCTGGAATTCTAGAGAGGCAACAGGCTGGGCAAGATCAGGGAAGAGTGTCTGTCATTATAATGTGCACAACTGGGTACTGAGAGGGTAAAGCCCAGGGTGGGGTGGCTGGAAAAGGCCCTAGAGAAACAGGTAGTGGCTAGGTCATGAAAGACTTTATATGTAATATATAAATATCTTGGAAGACCAATATATTTAAGAGCATAAAAGAAGTTGGAGACATTGAGTATAAAACACACCTAAAACGGGTTTGAATGAGAAGTGAAAGAGAGAGAAAGGATGGAAGCTAGAAGGAAAGGGAGAGTCAATCCAGAAATCTTGAAAACTTTATTTTCTGCCTCAGTTTCTCATTTCCAGCAGACTTTTGACATACAGGTAGTGCCTGACTCATGATGTATTGAAGTTATGATGAACTGCACTTACAACCATCCGTTTTTTTTTTTATTTTTATGATTTGTGTATTTTTTTATGTATGTATTAAAATATATCTGTAAATATATACGTAATGTTTCCAACCTCCAAAGACAAATAAAGACTGGATATATAAAGATACTGATAATAAAAGGCAATAATAATGAAAAAAAAAGAGGTATTGGACTTAACGTTGGAACTGACTTAGGATGACGTCATCAGAGCGTAACTCCATCATAAGTCTGGGACTACCTGTATTTACTCTGATATTTCACCAACAGTATAAACTCAATAACTAACGAAAGCATCAGAAATCTCTTTTTCTGTAAATGGCCTCACTCTTTCTAGACATCCTGGCTTTAAACTTTGCCTCCTTTCCATAATTTTGATATCTACTTGTTGGAGGTCATGCCTTTCTTTTGACTTCTCCTCCTACCCTTAGTACTTCCCACATGGTCTATTTTCCCATCCTAACAAAAGTTCTCTCTACTTCGTGTCTTTTTACCTAACAACCATCCAGTGCATTGGTGCCAAAATAACCTTGCTAAAACATATTCCTGTTCATGCTACTCTCTGGCTTTTGGAGCTTCTAGTGCCAACTAAATTAAGTGCAAACCCATTAAGCTGGTATTCTAACTTCTCCACAATACGGTTCCAATCAAGCGTCCCTGTCTTATAGTAATTTCCGCCCAACACGTTCCCTGAGATCTGGTCAGACTGGCCTGATCATGGTTTCCTTATTAAGTTCTATTTTTTTTTCCCATCTTGGCCATGAATTCTCCTGCACTATGTCTAAATTTCATTTATTCTTTAAATCCCAGTTCAGTTGCCTCCTTCATAAAGTTTCGTTTATTTCAGCATTCCCACACTGCTTCTATCCTTTGATCCTTATCATAGTGATATTCTTTGTATGTTTACAGTTATGCATAAGGTCCTCATGAGTCACAGCCAACTCAGCAACAACTAACAACAGCTATATTTTAAGATCTGAGAGTGGAGCATATATTGAACATGTCTTTACTGTCACTATCTTGCGTAATGCACACAGCCAATGTTTGATACATGTAAGTAGACTTCCAACGTTAGGAAGGATATAAAATTTTAGAGCTGAAAATGATGTTATAGATGATATTGCCTGTTTTATTGTATAGATGAAAGAATTGAAGCTAAAAATGTTAAGTGACTTGCCCAAAGTCACATGCCTGGGAGGTGACAAAGCAGTGCTTCAAATCCCATCTGCTGACTCTCAGTCCAGCTCTCTCTCCATTTCATTACAGCACCTGTTTGGGAAGCTTGAGTTCAATCATCATCCTTGTCAACAATGTTCCTGAGTTTGGCATCATCGTTGGTGTCAGAGACAGAGTCCCTTTCAGTCTCTCGTTTGTGATTGCGCAACCTAAGGGAAAACCGAGCGAAGGCGCAAGATGCCCACCCACCTTACCAGACGAAAGAGGGAAATGGTGTTGCCGGAGATGTTGTAGTGAATCAGAACCTCAGAACTGGTGCTGACTCCAAAGGACACATCTTGGAATTTCTGTACCATGCTGTGAAATAGAGACACTGCTGGTATTTCCAAATCCTAAAAACCAGAGAAAAAATAAAAGAATGGAAGTTATTTTGGAGGGGAGAGATGCAGACATAGAAACAGAAGGGGGAAGAGAGATGTGCTCACCCATACCAGAAAGCACAGACTTGATTTAGTGTTCAGTGAAACACACTTCCATCTCAGAATGCAGGCTAAATTTGCAGGGGCATTGTTGAATTTTCCAGGCTGTGTGGATTAATAGGTAACTACTAAAATAGTGGCCAAATCTGGGACTCCCGTCTGACTTTAGCATAGAATTTGCAGCTCACCAGTAGCTGAGAGGGGCCTCAAAGTCAAGAGGCCTGGAGAATTGGACTGAGCTGTCACTGATATGCCTAAGGCAGCAGATTTTCTCAGAAGCAATTTGTAGAGGGATGAAGAAATGCAAAAATAAGAACTAGGGACTGTCAAAAAGGGCTATAAAAGGAAGGATAAACAAAATTAAGAAATGGAAGCTTAAAGTCTTATTAGCAAGGGTTTGTGTGGGATGCCTTCTATCATACATAAACCTGAGGTATTTCCTATGGACATACTGTTCATGCATTGCCCAGACTCAACAACCCAGCCTGTAGCAGGGAGCCGGGAAGCCACTTCTGAGTGGTGAGTTCAGTCCTTATGTAGCAGCCTGGCATCATTGTCCCTGCTGTAACAGGACCTTTGCACACAGCTCTAGGCAACAAGCAGGAGGGAACATATTCTTCCCTGACATCTCTCTAGGCTAAAGGAGAAGATATACTGAAAGAAAACAAGATGGCTAGCCTAGCATCAGAGTCCCTGGGTGGTGCAAATGGTTACCGCCCTTGGCTGCTAACAAAAGCTTTGAGATTTAAGTCCATCCAGAGGTGCCTCAGATGAAAGGCCTAGCTCTCTACTTCCGAAAAATCAGCCATTGAAAAACCATGTGGAACACAGTTCTACTCTGACACATATGGGATTACCAGGTGTCAGAAATGACAACTGTTAAAGAAGTCTTGCATCTGAGGTCAAGCAGATCTTGCTCGTCTAAAGGCAAGGACTGTGTGGAGTTCATTTGAGACTATGAACAATTGTTAATCAAGCCTTCTATTTTTTTATTTTTTTTTTGCTCTGTTCTTTCAAATGGAATTGTTCACAGATCAAATGATGGCATCTGGTGGCTATTTAAATTATTGCGGACTCGTCCTATCGCACTTTCTTGCCTTTCAGAGGGCAGTTGTTTTGTCTACAGCTCAGATCACTCATCACTGAAATATGTACTCTGTGTCTTCCTCCCCCACTTGCATCTCATAGCAGCTATTTCCAGCTGTGTACACAGAATCCAAGGTGGGGGGGGATGCTGAGTTGGAATTAATGAATGGAAACACACAAGGAATACAATGAGGGAATAGGGGCTTGATCAACTGAGAGAAGGACTGCCAGATGCTACCATCAGGGAAAGCAGAATATGAGGAAATGCTGCTCTGTCTTCCTAGTTGCCCTAATTAGCCAGACAGTCAGTCTGGAAGATGAAGGATAACACTTTCAATAAACAAAATATCATCATTGTTCAACATTTCAGAGCAGGCAAAGAGAAAAAAGAAAAAGGGACAATCTATTTGGGGAAGAACTTAGACAGGAGACTACTGGCTAACGCTCAAGGGGCTTTGGCACACTATGGAAAGTGTTGCCTGACTGATAAAAGTTGGCTCACTTGCCTGGCCCCTGCTTCAGCATATCCAGATATTGATTTAAGCTTCAAAATATCCACAGATGAGGAGACTCAAGTATCAGCCTCAGAGCTCTTGAAGAAAGCACAAAGAAGACATAACTCAGAAACTAAGAATGTCCTTAAATAGAGAGGACTTGACTGACAAGCCAAAAACAGGCTCTGTGCTGATGTACCTTTGACCAACTGCTTCTAATGCAGCATCGTCTGGTCAGTAAGTGACCGTCAAGGCTCCCTTGAGATAGAACGTTCTGGGTCTTTGGGGGACTGGCAAGTGGGGCATCTGGACAAACCTGAAAGAAGCCTATGACGGCTACTTCAGCAGCAGCAATGAATTCCACAGCAGCTGGGACATCTGTGAGCCACACGGGCTCTTGAGCAGCACTGGGGCCATCTAGAAAGAGAAAGAGAGTGAAGGAGAGGCAGAAGATGCCGGGGTGCTGAGGGGAAAAGAAACAGGTCTGAGTAATGAGGAGTCAATACCTTTCTCCCCCATCCTAAGGCCGAGGAGATCAGTTTCTAAGAGTGCTGATACCCCGCCAATGCTTCTGCCTTTTACTAACATATGGAAGGTGACTCCACCTTATGGCCTGTCTGTGAAGGATAATTCCAGTCTTCCCTCCTTTCCACTAGGCAACATAAGTCTTTACTCAGCATTTCCTGGAATATTTTCTCGTTTCGGAGGAAAAATATCCGGAGTACTGCCACCTTCCTCCCCTCCCCCTTCTCCTAACAGCACTCTCACCCAGCGATCACACAAGTGCTCTTTTCTTTTACCTGAGGATTCCTGAACGTCTGCAGCAACTTCTGGAGGCAGCCCACGTGTGAGGAGAAAGAAGAGAAACAGACATGTGGACTGGGTAGCTTCCATGTTCTCCTGCTCCTTTCTTCAAGCCTTGGACTTTGTGTTTGGGACTCAGGGCAGCCACTCTGTAGTTAATTGGCTGTGATGTTATTAGTGTTCTGGGAACTTTGCAGGTGGCTCTAGGGGGACCTTCAACTTCTGAGATAAAAGACCAAGTTCAGTGACAGGGCCTCAGAACATAACCAACCATATGCAAGTCGGGCCAGCTCATTTAGATAGAAAGCTTTCAAATATCATATGCCAAGTATTGATCTAAGCACTAGGGATACTAATATAACTATGATCTGATATAGCCTCTCTCAGCTTAGATTTTTAGTGGGAGAGACAGACAAATAAACAGATCATTTAACTATAAAATGTAAAGTCATAAAAAATAGAGAAACTCATAGGGTGCTATGAGAGAATGGACAAAAGGCATTTAGGACAATTGGGGGTTTAGTGAAGGATTTCTTCCTACAGGGGATGCCCAAGCAGAGTCCTGGGGAAATAAGATTTTTCCAGGTAACAAAAGGTGGAAGGGAGTTCCATGTAAAGAGCCAGCCAAAGCATAGAGATGCCAAGGTATGTGAGAGAATTCTTCGTGATTCAGCATTACAAAAAGGAAGGGAATGGTGAAAGTTGCCAGAAACTCACCCTGGGGCCAGATCACAACAGGCCTCATATGCCAAGCATACGAGTTTCAACTTAATTCTGTAGGTCATGGGAAACCTACTGAGAAGTCTTAAGCAGGAGAGAGACAACATGTGATTCGGCTCTCAGGTGCATATGGGAAATCCAAGACAAGATTCCTTGTAGGTAGTGGGGTATATAGGTTTCAAACTTAGGAGAAAACTCTCCATGATAATATTTTTTGTTTTAAAAAAAGAGATTTTCCACCATTCATATCCTGAATGCTCACTGCCCATTGCCCTGGAAAGGGGGATTGATTTGTTCTCAATGACGTAACTCCCTCTTCTACCGTGTTCCCTCCACTCCCAACCCCTCTAGGGGACTCATGAATGTGAACCATCCAGTTACCATGTTTGTTCGAAGGCAGAAAGCAGGGAAATGAAGATCTCAGTCAGAATATACAGCTTTTGTTTTATTCTTATTCTGTTGTGCTTTTTACAGTGTCTCCCACAAAAGGAGAGCCCCAACTGAAAGAGAACATGATTAGGGACCTTCCTTGAGCCAGCAGCAACCACAACAGAATGCAGGGATGGGAAGGAGCTACTGGAACCTTAGGCCAAAGGATTGTTAGTGAGTTGGTCCATTTCCTGGCCTCTGGTTGCTCAAACGGGAATAAGACAGGAGAACATTAAATGATTATGTTTTGAGATGGAGAACTTGGAAGATCTGACCCCAGTGGGGGATCAGAGGGAGTGGGCAGGGTTTAAGCTTGGGTTTTAAGCCTCTTGTACTAGGGACTGCTTTGTGAGACTGAATGGGATACGATACTTCAATAAGATAATATGGGGAGCATTGGGACAGAGCCCAGCTGTGAACAGTGAGAAGGGATGGGGGATAAACATGACTGAAAGGGTCCTTCTAGGTGGCAAAGGTGGGGAAAGGGGTGGGCAGATGGTCTCATTCTGTCCAGTCCTTCTTAATGGACAGGTTCCACTCCCAGGTAAGGTGGTTGTGCTTGTCGTCATCAGTGAAGAAGGACTTGGTGTGGTAGGTGCCCCGGGCCAGCAGGCCCTTCGGAGCCTCCTCAGCTGGAGTCAGGAACTCATATTCCTCAGGTCGAGGCCCATAGCTGCCAACCATAAATGCTGCTTTATCCACTAGGAAGAAAAAAAGCTCATTAGGGCAAGAGTCTGATAGAGGGAGAATTTGGAGTTCGGCTTATAGTGATCAAAGCCAAGAGCAATAATTTCCAAGGCTGGCTAAGCAACAGATTTACTTGGAGCATTTTTTTTTTTTAACTTAATTTTTTAAAAATTTTTATTGTGGTACCTTTTAATAATAGCTTACTTTTTTCTACTCCCAGTATGATTGAGTAATCTGCTGTGGGTACCAAGAATCTGTGTTTTAAAAAAGCACCACAACTGATTTTGAGTTCCAGGAAAATGGAGGACCCAATGTTCTAGATCAGTGGGGATCTAGGCTGTTGTTATTACAGATGTAGCGGTGTAAATGGTTAATGTGCTTGGCTGCTAACCTAAAGGTTTGTGGTTTGAGTTCTCCCAAAGGTACCTAGGAGAAAAGCCTGGCGATCTATTTCTGGAAAAAAAAATCAGCTATTGCAACCCTATGGAGCACAGTTCTATCTGATACACATGGGTTGCCATAAGTTGGAGTCAACTTGATGGCAACTGCTTTTTTTTTTAACAGGTTCTATCATTTAAAAAATCAAAACCAGTTGAGAACTGAGTTCCGGGTTCAGCTCTGCATCCACCTAAGTTACATAACCAAAAAGGGTCTTGATCTCGATCTTCTATCTACAAAGCTACTTTTTCATGTAGAAATCCGTGGGGAGAGGTAAAGTAACAGCTGACAATCAGGATGAGCAGAATTAATGGAGGGAAGAGTTGGATGGAAGGGGGAAATCAATAAGCCGGTAAAAGAAAAAAAGGTGAAAAACTGGGACAAATGATAAAAGTAGCCAACCCAATTTACCTATAAATGAGTACCTAGGATATATATTAAGAATAGTATGGGAATGGAAAGTAGAAACAAAGGGAGGGAGGTAGTGTATAGTTGGCCTTAATGCATTATTAACAAGTTTGAAGGAACTGCTGTACACGTCATCATACTCTTGCCTGAGGGAGGCAACATAGTCTCTGTGCTCAAAGGAAAATAGGAAATTAAACCATTTTTTCATGAGACCAGATACTGGGAAGGCCAGTTAAGATCTTTGAAGCCAACAATCTTCTCTGACACTTAAGTAATTGAGTGGCTCTCTATGTTATATAAAATTATCAGACAATTTTCTCCCTATCCTTTGTTTACTAATTTGGTAGAACTTGCCTATACATGACTGTTTCACAACTCTGGGGGAGCCTGTCAAGTAGAAAGGAAGTGTAAAAACACTCCCACCGCCTTCTCACCTCTCAATTCTCCCCGCCCATGCTAATGGAAGAAAACTGAAGGCAGGTTCCCATGGCACATACAGTTTAGGTGCTACTTGTAGAGAACAGCTGCAAATTAAGCAATGTTGTTATATTTGTTTCAATTAGCTTCTCCAATCCTAGGACAAGTAATTCTTTCTATGTCTTTGGTAAGAAATTGAGCACTGCTCTAAACTCCCATCCTTAACACACATAAGGCCTTTCCTGTCTTGGATTTCTCTGACTCTGAGATTTGTTACCTATAAAGTGCTCTTTAACTTTGGAAAGTATTTTTATGTTTTTACTTCATTTAAATTTATCTCTGTTACTCTTCCTCTTTATGAGTAATAAAATTGAATTCCAGAAGCTGAATGCCTAAGGTTAGTGGTTGATCCAAGTCTAAACTAGGTCTCCTGAATGTTGGCCTTGCATCTCTCCATTGATTTCTAGATCAGAGGTGTGTGTGTGCCCTTTCCTTGGATGGGAGTCTGAAGCTTTGAACAGATTAAACGTTTAAGTGTAAGTGAGAAACAGAGTTTGGGACAGTGCAAGTATTTGGTCCCTTACCTTTCATTCCAGTCCGGTAGGTGTGCTGAACGTATTTCAGGCCTGACACAATATCCTTGTTCACCTGTAGGAGAGAAGGGTCCAAATAGTTCAGGTTAGAGGGTCCTTCAATTTCCCGCATCTTCTGTGCCAATCCTACCTTGCTAGGTCTTCTCTGAGGTTGAAAGGACTGAAGATTTAGTTCAGAAGAAATGTTCCTGTAATCACTTAGTGTGGTGGTGAGGTAAAGATTACAGACAGGAGATCACAAGACCTCAATGTGGCTAATTTGATTTTAATAATAGGATACTGTGATATTTATTTTGGGGAAGGGGTGGTGGTTAATTAAAACCCGTCTCAATACTCCTCATAGTCTTTCTCCTTTTTTGTATGGTCTTGACTCCCCCTCCCCTATATTACTGGCCAGGAGACTGTCTTTGTCTTAGGAAAGGTTACAATGGTACCAGTGGAAAATGTTATGCAAATATCTGAAAACTATAACCTGGTAAATGATCCACCTAGCATATGAAAAACAAACAATGAGCAGAAAAGCCATAATGGAAAGTCAAGCCTAGAAGTTTGTGCCCGCAGAGTAATTGCGATCGGAGTCTCCAAGTGAGCAGATGGGCCACAGGATCATGTCCTTCCCCATGCATAAATAATGGGTGAAATCCACCTGTGTCTAGCAAGTACTTTGGATGCCTGTCATTTTCAGACGTTGTCTGAGATCCTGCCTCTTTCCTAAGTCTTTGAAAGAAAATTCAGTAGAACAGAATGAAAATATAGACATCCCAAACACTTTGTTTTTCCATGATTCATTTTTACCTGGGTTTGAACTGAGTTTTCTGTTAATTTGATATAGTGGTCAGGTCTACACAAACAAATTAAAGTGGAAATTGTATCGTTAGCTGGAGGACTTGGTTAACTGCTCACCAATATGAAGAATTAAAGAATCCTCCAGTAATTTCTCCCCAACAATAGTTATCCTTATCCCACCCCCTTTTTTTGACAGAATGATTAAACCAGGCTATTAGTGCTATAAGGTCGCCATGAATTGGAATCAACTCGATGGCAATGGGTTATTAGTGCTGTACTTTGTTTCGTTGGTAGCGAGGTGGCAGAGCACTGAACAGTGCCCGCTTAGATTCTAGACTGCTCCTTAGTAAAATCTGTAATCTAAGCTTATTAAAAGCACACAGAATGAAAACAGCTTCACTGAAGCAACTGTGATAACATGAAGACCAAACTGTCTAATTACTCTGAATCCCAGATGTAGTTTCTAAGAATAGGGAAAATGACTGTGTCTTTTTAGCAATCCCTAAGCTGGTCCCTTGGGCCTAGTGGGATATGTGGCCTGAAGGAAAAAAGACCCATGGACAAGAATTGTAACGAGGTGGCAATTAGGACTTCCAAACAAAGAGCCTCCCGTTTTTCTACTATTCAATAGAGGGTCTATTTAGTATCGTTACATTTGGGATGAATTTAAAAAGAAAAGGATGTATATTCACAGTATCCTCTTTCTTGGCTCCCTGCCCTTTCCCTGATTTCTCTCCTGCCCCAGGAGGAAGAAGCCTTAAAAATATGCATGAAGTGAGAGCTAGAGAAAGTGTGTGATACTACATTTCCTTGAGAAGCAGAAGAAAACTGGGAAGAGAATAAAGCAACCATCCCAGGCCAGGTTTGTGGAGAGAGTGCAGTGAAATTCGCTGGGAGAAAGAGAAGAATGCTAGAAGCAATGAGAGAGAGAGAGAGAGGTAAAGAGAGAGGACTTTAGGATGTGTTGCTGGGTGTTATAACTATATATTTTCTTGGGCATTTTTCAAAAACTGTCAGTAAAGATTTAAAAAGCTTTTCAATTATTTTCAATTTTTGTTCTGGCATTTCTTCTGACTTTACCTCCATGCTGGGTCAGGTCACAGGGTGGTTCAACTTGATGTGGGTTACACATAGAGAATGGTCTTTTTCCTGTTAGAAATAAGGCCAAACCCTCTGAAGTGGATGGCGCTGGAATGCCCCTCCCTTTGCCTTCCTCCCCAGTACCTGGATGTGTGTTGAGTAGCCTATGTTCCACGGCTTGCTTTCTCTTCTTAGTCACATTGCAAATTACCTGTCATGCTTCACTTGATACAAACTGGCTGACTAAATTGACAAATTAATGCAGTCGCACTAACTATTAATAACAGGCCTGATATGTAACCCGTTCTAGGCATATTTGGACACAGTGCCTTACTAAACCCTCGGGTGCTTCAGTAATAAATAATATGGCAGGATACAAGTAAGTGAACTAGATAGAGCACGGTGCCTAGTAGAGAGCAAACCAAAACCAAGCCTGTTGCCATGGAGTCAATTCCAACGCATAGCGACCCTATAGGACAGAGAACTGCCCCATAGGGTTTCCAAGGAGTGGCTGGTGGATTTGAACTGCCGACCTTTTGGTTAGCAGCCTAAGCTCTTAATCACTATGCTACCAGGGCAGGCATCAACAAATAGTTCCAGAATGACATTATTTTGAGGCATATTTCTATGCGGTGGGAAATGATTGTCCATGGACACCAAATCAAACCCTGTACCCAGGGGAAAGGAGGGCCCAGTGTACAAATAGAAAAGGCAGATGGGGTCTGTAGCCCAGGCTTCTGGAGAGTATGGCTAAGTGGGAGTGAGGGGCAACCAAGGCAAATACAAGTAATTAAGAGCAAACAGTGTATTTCTAATACTTTTTTTTCCAAGTCAAGGTTTTCTTTCTCCTTGATTTTGGCTATTCATTGGGATAGGTGATTATTCATTAGATGCCAGTTAATTTCCTATCTAGTTTTGCTCTTACTTGGTCACCGGCTCCACAGTTATAATTGTAATTTCCAGTCATTTACCAAAGACCACAGCTCCTGCATCTATATAATCACCCAAGAAGTAGAGCTAAGGCCCTACCTGTTCTATTTTTTTCCCCAATTAATTACTTCATTTGTCTGTGCGTTTCTCAACATATAGTCACTAAGTATCTTCCATTTGCAAGGTTCTGTGTGAAATATTGGAAAGAAGGGATATATAATCTCTCCCTACCTCAAGGAGCTTAGGCTGTACAAGGGAGAAATGATACAAATGGTGCAATACCAAGCAGCGGGTGCCTCTTGGATATGAGTATTAGTAGTTCATAGAGAGATGGATCCCACTGGCTTAAGTGGTCCATGTAGAGTTCAAGGAGAGTGTCCTGGCTGGGAAAGGACATGACCAAGGTGGTTCTATAACAGGTGGATCTCAGGGTTTGGGAGAGGACATGCCGGAACTGGGGGATGGGAGGATGGGGAGGTGGGACAAAAAGCGTGCTGATATGATAACGCAAATTTAGTCTGTAATTATAGGAAAAGAGTTCTATTTTATAAAAAGCAAACACACAGGGCAAGATACTTACTTTGAAGTGAATTTTGACTTTATATTCAACACCTTCCTTTAGCACAAAGGTTTCTTTTTTGAGGGCTTCAAGATCCCCTGTAGAAGTGGATTTAGAAAGAGTTTATTCTCCTCAGAAGCAGACACACAGGGAGACTAATGAAGCGTAAGCTCCAGAACCCTTTACTGGGCCCATCTGAGCAACATGGTCCTCGATTCAAAGTACTTGAGGTTAGTCCCTGAACACACACAAACTTGCAATGCTTCAAGCTGGACTCTTCCTTACAGCTCAGATACGAAAGGAATGCCATACTTTTTTTGTTTTTTAATTTTATGACAATCCTAAAAATATACAAGACATTATCGGTAATAAGTTACGAAGATGAAAGAATGTTTTCTAATTGTCAATTAAAAAAAAAAAAAAAAAAGAGCTTCAATCAACCGTACTCTAGGAAAGTCTAGATTATCTTTCTATTCTGTTACATATATGTGGTCAAGCGAAGAAGTGATTAAAGAATGTGCCACCCCTTCCCCCCAAAAAAGAAACGTAGGAAAACTATATAGGAGTGTCAGACACTTCTTTTTCTGGATCTGGTGGTGTTCGTGGCATTTTCTAGCTTTTAAAAATTATTTTGATTCCTTTTGTCATTAAAAATAAATATTCACTTTTATGCTTACTTTTTAGTCTGTATTTGCAATTTAGTATTTTTCTTAAGGAAGTTCACCCAAATTATAAAACCTTCAGGCTCCATAAAACCTGGATCTGTCCTTAATTTCTGTACTCTGTTGAGGGTAGTAATCACTCTCTGTTTATCTCTCCATGTGATCCTGTATAATTTGGCATTCCCCTGTTTTTGTGTGTGTGTGTGTGTGTGTGTGTGTGTGTGTTTTGCACAGCTGAGTGTGTGGTATTTCTTTGAATTTTGACTCTAATTCAACACCTTCCTTTAGCACAAAGATTTTTTCTTTTTGAGGGTTTCAAGATCCCCTGCACACAGCTGATACCAGCATATATACCTCTGTGATTCTGGGATTTACCTCACTGGCTTTTTTTGCCACAAGAAACCAAATTTGGGTTCCCGTCTTCTGGGACAGGGGCAAAGACTAAATTTTCCCCGTAATATTATCAGGCCCTTCTGAACAAAACAGACTTTCCTTAGTGCAAACTCAGACCTTGTCTTGAAAATTGACAGTTGCACCTGGTGCCATTACACAATTTCATGCAGGAAAAGGTCTGAGTCCTAGTGAGTGAGTTTCTCTTCTGGAGAGATGTTAGAATATGGGGTAGTTGAATCGGTGTGCTGTGTCTGCTCTGATGATTTCAGTTGAACAGGAAGTGTGTCTTCTCAGCCTCTGATTTCCTCCCTCCGACAAAAAAGCCCATATAAGGTAAGGAGTGAATGTGTCCAGTAGGAAGGGAACAACCTCGCTTGCTAAGCTGACTGTTCTCGAGTTCTACTTTGCTCTGTCTCACAAGAGTCCGGTATTTGAATATGGTAACAAAGTTTTTTTTTTTTTTTCTCTACAGGAGCTGGGCAGATGGTAAAATAAGTTGATCTTACCTTTGAAAATCCTCCGCCTCCTTGTTGTATGCCCATTTTTTCATTCTCCCTCAGATACCCACATTCCCCATAATTTCCATCTTCTCAATTTTTTTTCCATCTCCTCAAGACCTAACGCTCAGGAAAGGATTTGAACCCTAGTCACAGTAAGGTGAAAGTAAATAATAACATTCTAATTTGTACACTTTCAGTGGGGAAAGCTTCTTATAGAACAAGAATAAGAGCTTTAAGCTTAAAAAATAAAGATCTAACAGTGGAATTTCTAGTGATGTTCAGGAAGTCTTAGATTGTTACTTGACTTTATGTAAGTTCTGTGACTGATACAAGAGCAATAAGTTCTCTAATGTTTAGTTACATAAATATTAGAATTCCAGAAGCATACTGCTTGCTTCTTAATATTTCCATTAGCAGTCTTTTTATATTAATAGTAATTCTTCGGCTATCATGTGGATATCAAAAATCTGAAGTAAATACCATAGAAGTAAATACATCAAGTGCTTGCCCTGCACCCTCTTCTGTGAAATAGAAACAGAAGTGGGGCTCTTCATTAAGCGTGGTAAAATACTGTGTACTCTGAAAGGAATGATCTGTGAGCTGGTACCAGCATATATAGCACTGGGATTCACCTTACTAGGGTTTGCTTCTGCTGGGACAGGGCATAGAGACCAAGTTATCACTGCAATATCATCAGGCCTTGCTGAACAGAACAGATATGTCCACTTACCGGTGAGGTCCATTGTGATTGGTCCTGGGGCACTATCACACACCAGGGTTAGCCGGGTGACCGTAACATTGGGGGCAGTTGGGTCTGCAGGATTCAAAAGGGAATGTAAACACAGGGTACAGACATGTGTAGTGTGTGTGTGTGTGTGTTTCAAGAAGGAGAAAAAGAATATATAAAAAAGAAAGGTGATACCTCTATCTGGAATAGAAACAGAAATGTTGTTGTTGTGTGCCTTAGAGTCAATTCCAACTCATAGTGACCATATAGGACAGAGTAGAACTGCCCCATAGGGTTTCCTAGGCTGTAACCTTTACAGGAGCAGATTGTGAGGTCTTTTCTCCCATGGAGTAGCTAGTGGGTTCGAACCGACTACCTTTCAGTTCGCAGCCAAGTGCTTAACAATTTTGCCACCAGGGCTCGTTTGAAACAGAAATAGATGTGATTAATTCACCATGTTTGGTAATGACGGACTTATAAATTGTAGAGATGCCATTTGGTCTCAGGCACTTGTTGATCCATGTTAATTATCTACAGCAAGTATTTCCTGAGTGGCTATAGGTGAGCTACTCTGCTAGATGGGCACAATCCATTCATATCTTGGGGCCATGTCTTGCTCTGCCATTGTGTATGTGAACGAACTGAATGGTCAGTGAAGGAGTGAGAAGAAGAGAAGACAGAGAGAGAATGTGAGAGATTTTGGAGAGAGGGGACTACAATTATAACCGTCAGTCCAGAATTCTTTCTAAATTCTCTCTGTGTGTTATACCTGGCTATTTCAACGCTAACCTGTACCTTTCTACAAAGGATGCTTAATTATACAGTTTGGAAATTTATTGAGCATATGTGGATTATATCTCTCTCCTTAACACTGGGGGAAGTTGGTACTCTTTCCTTTGCACCCATTCCTGAGTGGCTGAAATTTATGCTTCCTCTGGGGCCCTCTACTATCTCCTGTTTCCCATACACACATACCTGCTACCACAGGACCATCCCCCAACAGTGTTTTCTTGTACTTGGCTAAACTTTCATCATCTTTGTCCATCTCTTGTAGCTCTTTCAGGGACTTCTGAGGTGGAGGCTTGTAATTGAGCTTGCCGTCCAGTTCATCAACATCCTCCTCCAGGTGTGGTTCTGGGTCATTTTCAGTCATCTTGATCTATTTCAGACAGAGAAGATAGTCCATTAGCCAAAAGCCAGTGGATGTGAAGGATGTTTCTGGAATCGCTGTTAGCACTATCTTTACTTTAATGGAGTTTCATAATCTTCAGTGATTTTCCCTAATTCAACCTCATTATTTTTCATGAAATAAGAATATAATGTATTCCAGTCATTTTCTGTATTGTGATGAGTATCTCCTATCACTGAGTAAAACTGACAAGAAAGAAATAACTAATTTGTGAATAATATAGTACAAGTGAAGCAACATAACACAAGCAGTTCCTGAACAATGAACCAATAGCCCCTATTTAAAGAGTTATAGAAATTGTCACAGTCTTTGAAATCCAGCCAGTCTTGCTAATGTCAAAGTTCTCAGCATGTACAATCCCAGTTATGATGGTTTAAAGAGAAAAAGCAAAGTACCTGCCAAAGGAATGGTTTGCTTCTTCCCATTAATTGAATCTTTCCCTGAACTCCTGCAACACCTAAAAGGCCACTCATGAGAAACTGTAGACCTCTATGATACCTGAATAAGGTGTCAGAATGGTCCACATCCAACATTGCTAATAGCTCCTTAAAGGCAGATAGTGAATTATATGTTTCTCTCGAATCCCCCACAACACTTAGCATAATTCAGTCACTAAAGTATTCATTGATTGATGTATTTGGACTGATCCAAGCCATGGTATTTTCAATTACCTCATATACATGTGAAAGCTGGACAATGAATAAGGAAGACTGAAGAAGAACTGATACCTTTGAATTATGGTTTTGGTGAAGAATATTGAATACACCATGGACTGCCAGAAGAAGGAACAAATCTGTCTTGGAAGAAGTACAGCCAGAATGCTCCTTAGAAGCAAGGATGGTGAGACTTCATTTCACACACTTTGGACATGTTATTAGGAGGGACCAGTCCCTGGTGAAGGACACCATGCTTTCTTGGTAAAGTAGAGGGTCAGCGAAAAAGAGAAAGACCCTCAGCGAGATGGATTGACACAATGGCTGCAACAATGGGCTCAAACATAGCAACAATTGTGAGGATGGCACAGGACTGGGCAGTGTTTCGTTCTGTTGTGCCTGGGGTGGCTATGAGCCAGAACCTACTCGACGGCACCTAACAACAACAACATACCTAAAGATCTTCTGTTCTTTTGATATGACACAAAATAGCAAAAACAAACAAAATAATCAAACCCTTTGCCATCGAGTCAACTCTGACTCATAGAGACCCTATAGGGCAGACTAGAACTGCCCTATAGTGTTTCCACAGAGTGAACGGTAGATTTGAACTGCTGACCTTTTCGTTAGCAGCCAAGCTCTTAACTGCTGTGCCACCAGGGCTCCCAAAATAGCAAAGAATGCTTTAAATTCCTCACTCTAGACAAAATCGTGAGGGAGAAGTTTAGTACCCTTCCATCTATCTCCCCTTTCTGGACCCACTTCCCTTTTGGTACTTCTCTCCCCTCGCCAGATTTGTAATGACCTTATGTTCCAAGGTTCCTCCTAGTCATTCCTTGGAGTCAGCTTTCTTCCATTCTCATCTACATTTACTTGTTATGTGTGAAAATACTGAGGGAAGATCTAATAAAATCATCCACACGAAAGTGTTAATGATTGAATAATAGATTCGTGAATTATTCCTTTTAGGGCACGTATAGTCAGAACTTTTCAGAGATGAAATGAACCTTAAAAACACAAAAAACAACCTGTTCCCGTTGAGATGATTCCAACTCATAGTGACCCTACAGGACAGAGTAGAACTGCCCCATAGAGTTTCCAAGGCTGTAATCTTTACGGAAGCAGACTGCCACATCTTCCTTCCGGAGAGCGGCTGGTGTGTTGGAACTGTTGACATTTTGGTTAGCAGAGGAGTGCTTAACTACTGCACCATCAGGGGTCCTTGCAATGAACCTTAGAGATGATATACTCCAATCTTTCATTTCTTTCACTGAGAAAATTGTGATCTAGGGGTTAAGACACTTGCCCAACTTCACACAGCTAGACGAGATGCAGTGTCCTAACCAAGAGGAAGACGTTTCTACTGGAAGAATTTCAGGCACAGTGGACGGTAAGAATGGAGATGTTTGATGAAGCAAGGAAGTATTTGGGCAAGGAGATCATTTTATGATTTCTCTCATTCTACCTCCAGTGTAACTCTGCCCTGCCTGGGGGTAAAGCCTTCATTGCTCCTAACTGATACAACTGTAAGGCAGTATCTATCACATCTCATCCTGAGTGACTCTGCAAACCTCTATACAGCATTCTACGAGTGACGATATCTCTGGCCAGAATCAAGTCATGCTTTAGAGCTGCAGTGTTGCTACCAATGACAACAGGAATAAAAATAATTTGGAAGTGAAGCCAAACAAGAGCAACTTTAAGAGAACCATGAAAAACAAAAAGGTATTCCTGGCTAATCAATCTTCTTTCAGCTAAATAACAAGCCAAACACTACGAGCCTTGCCCAACTCTGAAAACAGCATTGCAGGGCCCAGGTCTACTTCCTGTACAGGAAGGAAACATGTAGGATTGTTCCTGTGGCAACTCTTGCCTCAGCTGCAGAACCACCATCACTCAAAGCTGAGACTCCAGAGAACAACACAATAAACTCAGAGACTTATCCAACTCACATTCCAAACACCTCTTGGCCAAGTGAATAAACTGAATGGAAAAAAGAGAAGGATGCAGTGGGTGGATGTTGTAAGTTATGGATAGTTTAAAAACAACTATTAAGGGGTAAGTTAAGAGCAAACCAGATGTGAATAATCATCTGGTGATAATCCAGGAGCCTGACCAGATACCCAAAGTGGAAGCCACATAACAAACCCACAGACAGAGCATCAAGAAGGCTATCTACACATGAGGGCATCTAACCCCTATAGACAGGCCTTTCTGGAATCTATCACTTGGTTATAACAAGTCACTTGTTTGAAGCCTAGCCACCAGGTCATGATGTCACATCCAGTCACTAACTCAAGGTGATTTCAATAACCTATAGGGAATAGTGATTCTGCAGCATATAATCTTAATTCTGAAAAGAGAAAGAGAGGGGGGAAAGAGAGAGATTGAGAGAGAGAGAGAGAGATCTACTTAGTCTAGGACAGGATTTGCCTGTGTGTGACCGTTGGCAAGTCAATCTGTCAGCTAGGTCTTGGTCTTCTCATTGATAACTCTGAAGATTTATGTTAATTCTAAATTTCCCAGATTCATTGCAAACAAACACAATGAAGCACAAATTTATTTAAATACATTGAAGAGCAGAGAATAATGTGTGATTACCATCTGAAACTGTTTCACTCAAGAGGAGGAAATTCAGGACCTCATTAAATTCATTTGGTTTAATAATAGTATAAGAAAAAGAGATAGCAGGCCAGATGACCCAATCCCAGCTCACTGTGGAAAGATAATTAGAAAAAGGTGAACATGCAATAATATAGCAAATTATAAAGCAAATGAGGACTGGAAAAGCCATCCTCTGGGAAAACCCTTTAAAAACAAAATTAAGTTCACAAATATTTGGTCAGCATCTACAGTGTATGAGACACTGTGCCTTCTCACATACTGATGTTTAAATTAATCTCAAAAATGCGAAAGGGGGCTAGATGCTGGGCAATTTAACCACGCTAAAAAGGCCCAGCTTGTTTAATTGATGGGTCTTAACCTTTTTGGGAGTTGCAGTCTCTTTTAAAATCTGTTAAAAGCCACGGTCCTTCTCCCAAGGTAAAAATGAATAAGCCCATGAATTTCCGATACAGTCCCAAGGAGTCATGGCTCCCTGAAGTCCTTCATAGACTCTGTTGAGTTTCTAGATGAAGAACATGATGTAGAAATGGTAACTTCCTGAAATGTGAAGCAGAGATTTGCATGTTAACAAGGAGGCTTGCTGCTCCTTGAGGCCCAGCCAGATCCATGACACAATTTAACCTGAAACTAAGGATCCTGTCCATCAAACCCAAATGTTTGATAACTTGAAGTAGGAGAAGATATCAGGTAACATCTGTACCTGAGGGAGTGTGACCACAAAGCCTGATAGAGGAGCAAAGGTGCACAGCGAGCAGCTCTGTAGGAGAAGAATCTCGTGGTCAATTTATTTCATTTTGGATAGTTCTCTCTTTACTGAACTAGGAATCAGAACTCATGGGTTGTGGTTCTGGGTTTTCCACTGACTAGAAAATCTTTCAACCCCTATGGATCTTACTTTCCTCTTCTTAGGAGAGGGAGGAGATTAGAGCAGACCATCTCTAAAATGCTATCCCTTTCTAAGACCTCTATCTGTATATTTCTCCTGCAGTCTTGCATCAGCTAAGTTGCCAGACATTCAGTTATCTTGGTTCAGCTGTGTATATAAGATAACGGAGTCCCTGGGTGGTGCAGATGATGAACATGTTCTGTTGCTAAGAAAGGTTGGAGGCTCGAGTCTACCCAGAGGTGCCTTAGAAGAAAGACTGGGTGACCTATTTCCAAAAAATCAGCCATTGAAAACCCTACGGAGCACAATTCTACTCTGACACCACATGGGTTGCCATGAGTTGGGGTTGACTTGACTGCAAATGGTTTATTTTTTATATAAGAGACTATTTCTCTTTGTGTTTGATTATTTAAATTTTTTGTAAATTCCCAAAAGATGCTGCATTTTTAATTTCACAGTTTATTTCTGCATAACCTCAGATTCTCCCAAAAGCCCATCTGTGAATGGTTTATATAGTGACAGCGAATCTCCAAACTATACGAGCGTATTTAACTGCAAATGTCTTGAGTACTTATTCAGTTTTCTCTTTTTTATGCTCCCACTTCATGGCTGCTTGCTGAAGTGAGAATAGGAATTTTATGGAAATTCTGCAGACTATTTCTCAATCCCCTTATCTAGAAAACAACTAATTTTATTAGTGATGATAATAATTGTAATCGTTCTAATGCATAGTACTAAGTGCTTTCATGAGGGTTAGTTCATTGATTCCTCACAACAGCCTTATGAGGTGGGCATTATAGTCATTTTCTTTTCAAATAAGAAAACTAAAGCTCAGGTTAAGTAATTTGCCCAAGGAGACACGTGGTGTAAGAGACAGATTAATGTCTAAGCCCAGTTTGTCTGACTCCAAAGCCTGAGTTTGTAGCCACCATGCTGTTACTTCAGTCATCTTTATTAACAAGAAACAGTGGAATTATAGAGCTCATTAACCATCCTGGGAGTCTGCTGGGGGAACTTAGGCAGAGGCAGATGCTTCTCTGCAGGCTCTGCAGGGACA